AAGTTAACAGTAGGAAAATAGTCGTTAGTTCCATGATGTTAGTTTCATGTCAGTTCTATGTGTTGGAAAGTTATCATTCAGCGTTCGTTGTTTGGTAATGCAAAGGGTTTCTGAAATCGAAACGTCGGTAAACAGATATGTGACGTCGAAACTGACAAGAATAGCCTGGGATCTGATGTGTAGCCTTTTGAGTTGTTCTGTGAAATATTTCGAGTTGTGAACTTGAAGTTCAGTGTTATCTCGTGGTGGAGATAGGGTAGGTAGTAATAAGGTCGCTAGCTGGTGGCAAGGTGAGTTTATCGCACTGATTATAGGTCTTAAAGGTATGTTAGGTGTGTATAGTTTAGGTAGTCCATAAAACTGTAGAGGGCAATTACCGCTGATTCTTACGTTTTTGGCCAAATTCTCGTTGATTAGGTTTTGTTTTTTGAGTTACTTTTTTAGTGTTCTATTGATGAGTCTCTCTATCTTTTCTGTAGGATCATTTGTGATTTTTTGTTGTATTGGTTTCCGTCTAGTAACGGCTTGATCTTGGTTTCATAATTGTTGATGTCTAGGATAACTGTAATTTCCTTTGTCTGCTGGTAGAATCTTGATTGTGATGCCCCGTTTTAGACGATTCGGTGCACTACATTCCTGTTAAGTAATGTTTGTGTTTAGTTTCTTGGCATTCCTGAGGATGAAGTAAGTTTGATGTCAAAATTGTTTTATTGTAGGTTTCGAGAGGTTTTGTACAGCAGATTCTAAGGTTATAGCTATGTCAACAGTTGGAAGTGTGCTATGTTGTATGGCGAAGTTTAGTCTTAGGTTAAGTATTTTGTTTTGTGTATCACTTAGAGGTTTCGAACTGAAGTTGTGAACTACATTGGTAATCGTGGGTTTATCTTTCTTGGTAATTTTGTTGAGTTTTCAGACTTGTTTTTTTTTCTTTGTGTTTTCCAGCTTGGCTGTATAGCGTTTGGCGTAAAGATTTAAGATGTCCAATGCTTTTGCATTCGTGGCGAAAAGTTGTCGAAATTTAGAACAGTGTGTTTCCGTTGTCTTGAGAAGATGACACTTTTTTCGTATATTTTTTTCTATATGTAATCTTAAGAGGTGTCTGCTGGTCTCGTAGAGAAGTTTATCATTTTTGTTTTGCTGGAGAAAGAAGTTTTTTTGAGTTTCAGAAAGTTTGGGAGAATATTAAAATGGCAGGAAAGTCAGGTGGTTACTGCAGTGTGCAAACTTGGGTAAGTTTCTGTTGTAGTTGTTGATGGAAGCTGGATCATGACACAACTCTTTTGGCATTTTTTGATAGTTAGTTATCTCTTTCAAATCAAATTTATTCTGATATTTTCAGCGCTTAATTATGGATTTCATATACTTTGAACAACTCAGTTGCCGGGGCATTTGTTGTTGGTAAGTAGCCAATATTGTCAACTGTTACACTGACATTATTGTGTGTCTGGATGTTTAAACTAGTCCAAAATCTTACGTTCTGGCCACTTAAAACTGTCTATCTGACCAGCGACCATACTTTATTCTTCACTCAAGCATTCTGAATAACTTCTTCATAGTACACTTTCATAAGCTCCATTACAAGTAGACCCATACGGATGCTAGCATTATATGCAACATATTTTAACTTTCACTGCAGGTAGAGCCTTCTTCAGCTGCTCAACAGTTGGTACTTGAGGCTGTACTGTAATACCATCCACTCTATGTGATGTTCCTGCACCTGAGAAATTTTCTTAATTCTGTCGATGTAATAATAGGCCATGCTTACAGGAATACATGGTAGAATTTTGAATGGTATTACCACACCTAATTTATCCTCATTTACTAACTTCTGCAGCAGAAGACAATGTCAATTTCCTGAAGCTGACTGTGAGACATACCGTGGCCTAAACTGTTTAGCATATTAACTCTACATTGCCAGTTAAATATTTTACTGTCCATGGTAAAAGAATGTGCTTAGCAGGATTATGTTTCCCTGCACCAACAGCATATGTATATATAGTCTTGACGAAAAGACTGAACTAATCTTTGAACTCTTGATTATGTTGGAGTATCTTGTGTATCTCCTGGTTATAACATGTTAAGAAAGCGAGAAACTTTGGCAGCTGGTTGAAGTCATTATCAAGGTCCTTAGCTCGAGCCATGGCCATTTTGCAGAAAGCTCTGAAACAGATACCAAAATTTATAAATTCACTTTTTAATCACGCAAACACACTCTCACCCACACGCATTAATGTACATGTGTGTATCTGTGTGTGTGTGTGTGTATACATATATATCATATAGATCTTTCATAGTGCCTGGTTTTTGATATATTTTGAAATACGACTATTGGTTACCATGACAACGCACTGTCAACTGCTAAGCTACATAGTCGACATATCCATCAAGCATTTTCATAAGGCATACACTCTGGGTTTTTAGAAAATGTATGATAGATTTTGCCCACCCAAGTGTTACCGACAATCTGTCTGGCTCATGGACTATTAACTTTTTATTTTAAGTTCAGAAAAGTATAAACATTTCTTATTCTTTAAAAGCTTACTTTCCTCTTTTCCGGGGCGCAAGTTGGCCTTCTGGTATGGAGCACTAGATTTGGGAACTGGCGAACCGTGTTCGAATCCACAAAATATTTTCCGTACTTTAAGCTGTGGATGTGTTTTAAGAGTGATAGTCAATCCCTTATCCTACATGTTGGATTGTTGGGTGTTGGTCAGTAGTTCAAAATTAACGACGGCGGACTTAGTACCTATGCCATAAATAAAAAGTCAAAATACAAAATTCATCTTTACCCCTATTTTTACCCTAATTTTATAATTATTGCAATTGTTTTGCCAGTCACCTTTATACTTTAGGACTACATAATGTATCATGTGGATTAACTTTAGCAACCTTTGTATCGTGTGATACATTACTCACAGTAATAATAATAAGGACGACAGCAGAAAGCATAGCAGCTGTGAAATAAATAGAAATAACAATAACATGATTGTTTCAATATTTGTATCCACAGGTAGAAACTCATATATGTTTTGGATTCAAATTTCTCGTTTTGGTACCACAATATCGTTTTCCATACTTCTGGAACCTCAGGTACGCTATGGCAATGACGTTCAAATCTCACTACATTCGATTAGAGTAATTCAAGAGTTGGCGGTGGGTGCTGCTTACTAGCTGTCTCCCTTCTAGTTTGCCAGTTCAAAATTAGGGACGGCTAGAGTAGGTAGTCTTTGAGTAGCTATGCACACGTACCCGAAACAAGCAATTACAGTTTGAGTGGCTTTGCACACATATCCGAAGCAATCAATTACAATTCTTCGGGAATCTGGTTGTTGTTTTTTTTATCGTAAACGTTATTACAAAACAAAATGAATGTTTGTTGCTACATATTATTTACTTCACTTTGATTGAGATATTACAACATTACATTAATAACATATTCAAAAATTGTCTATTGTAACAAATCATATGTGTATAATTTTCTTCCAGCAGAAGAGAATTGTGTTTTACCAATTATATTCAGTTCCTTATAAATTTTACTTTTATAGTAAAACGCATGACGTAATATATATATATATATGTATATAGTATACAATAAATGACAATGTCACATTGGTCTAATACCTCTTCCTGCTTGTTTTAATAAAACCGTATTATCATCCTAGTAGATGAGCACATACCGTTTGGTACTTGCTTGTAGTTTTCATGTTGATAAATATTACATCGTATGTCAGGTAGCTTAACTAATATAAGAGATACTACCCGCGTAACGGTCGATCCACTTAAAGTTCAATCTGTCATTTTATTTTATCACAAGGACACGTTCCAGTCTTTTATAACAACACTATAATAAGTAAAGAAAAATGAAGGTTGTGGAAGCGGCAAAAAAAATACAATACTTACCATGGAAGACCATTGACCTTTGAGATAACAAACATAGCGCAATACAATATCCTTAACGTTATATGTAAAGAACTTACATGTTTGTGTCTATTTATTACAGATACAGGAATAACGTCTAGTTTATCATCTTGGAATTGAACAATCAATTTAACGAGAGGCTGTATTTCTCTTACTCAATTTGTAATGTGATTTTATTTGTGTTTTCTCGCTACTTATACACAAAACTGTCTTAATTCTTTACCCAAGGTTTCTATGTTTAAGTCTAAATGTTACAACTATTAAAACATGATCTAGAAAAATTATCTTTTTTTTATATTGTGTTTAGTATTTCAACTGGGAAGTATTCACAATGTCATCCTAAAAGAAAACTTTGTGATGTATAAATAACATTGAAAGAAACTGATGGAAATAAATGTTATATACACACATATTGGAGTATTAGATAAGATATCAACAGAACGGACATATTATTAGTTTCGGGTGTTCTGGGTTAGATCAAACATTTTTCCTTTTCATTTCTTGCCAAAACGCAAGCATATTTTGAAACCCGTTTCGCCTGTAATATCTTTCAAAACGATGAATTACTCTTATCAGGCATCATAACGCAAAACACTGGACACATTCAGAAAAGAAAACAAAACCAAATGTCATCTCGAATGTTATAAATGTTGAAACTGTTGTTACCTTGGTTTGATATCTTTCTGCATTTTCTGATAACGGTACGTAAAAAGCCTTAAAATGTCTAGCACTGTAATCAAACAAACACAACGAGAAATGGAACACATGAAAGTTTTACAATAATGTATTTTTTTGGTGATATCTTAGTATCATTTTAGTTTAAATATTTGAATATTAACAGTGGATTTGAAAAGAATCCTTGTAAAGTTAACTGTTTTTCTACACACACTGAAATATATATAGTGATACATACATATATATACATATATATTTATTTATTTATATATATATGAGATATATAAAACCAGATATATAAATTACTTAAATAACTTTCATGTTAAAACTGTGTAAAAATATATGTGGCTGTTGTTTTCTAAATGTTTTGAAAGAAATGTCTTAATAGTTTATTCTTACTTTTTCAGAAACTAACTTTACGATAAGGATTCAAGCGACTGAAAAAAACGTTTCTGGCTTCTTTTCCTTTGTGTTAAGTGGCCGTGTAGTCAACACTAATGAGCTGTGTCAGCCAAGTATTCGGTTTTGTTTCTTGACCTCCCACGCCGATTATGACGTGCCAGAGTCCTTTACGCCTAATGTTATCTTCGATCAAGTACGCCCTCAAACGTTAGCCTATATGTGTTCTTCTCTCGAAACGCATTATAGTGTAAGCAAAGGTGAGACTGCCATTAATCTGTCAAAGTACTGGACCATAAGTACCTCTCTTACTTTCAGAGGCGAATCTTGGACAGTCTTAAAATTATATCAACCAAAATTAACTGTCATTTTGTTGTTTATTTATAAGTTTTAGATTTAATCGCATGTTGTCTGCCACTTAAGTAATTTATTCTTTCTCTCATAGAGTCAATTCTTATTGTACACTTATCCACAATCGTATAGATATAAATTTATAAAAGTTAGATTACTAATTATAAACACCCGAACTTATAACACAGAGCTATTTTTATGTACACCTACGCGTGGTTGTATAAGTACGATGTCCTTAGAAGTAAACCGATTTAGAAGATATTTATACTTTTGTTAATGCTGATAAAGTTCCTTCCTGTTTCTGTTATATGGATGGTTAATCATCTGGCATAATACATTTTGACAACATTTAAAATCAGTTAAGCGCGTCTTTGTTTACTTAGATGGAAACGTGTGGCAAAAAAGTTGCAAACATGCTGTAATTTGTACTTTCCAAATTGAGGTTTGTTTCTGAAAACATTAATTATTAGCATTCCGGTCACAGTGGTCTCAATCAATTACAGACGATCCTTTTAAGTTTAAACCAGAATCCATCAGACCAGCTTGCTCACAAGTCTAAAACCCTAGGTGAAAGGTTCACTAAAACTGTTATGAGATATTTATCTACAGTTGTATAGCATTAAAGTTAATGAGGCATGTGATATTTTAGCAGTGTTGTTGCATTGAAATACACTTGATGGACTTAAAAGTTACAAATTTCGACAGTACTTTCTTATAAATAACAAAGGGTCCCGAAAACTTTTGAAGCGGTTTCGTTTTTTTTTATCTCATAACTTACGATATCAAGTGAAAACCTATACAAATAATAGATAATCAATAGATAATCAATAGATAAACTTTAAGATAGCTTTTATATGTGGAAACATCTGTTAGCTGAGTTCTTGCACAGATCTTAAAATATAATGTTGATAAACGGAAGCATCGGCACATGTAGATACGTAGATCTAATATAGCTTTTATATGTGGAAACACTGTGCAAGAACTCAGCTAACAGAATGTGCCGATGTTTCCGTTTATCAACATTATATTTTAAGATGTAGATACGTAGATCTTGAAAGTCGAATTGTTCAAAACTTGAAAATAGCGTTGATAACTGGACCAATTGTTGGTTGAGATGTTGCAAAGGAAATATCTGCTCAAGCTTCTCGCCAGACACTAATCATAGCAGAACCGTCTGGAAAATGATCTATAGGAAATAAACTTTATTGTTCAAATCATATGAATAATATAGTCTTTTCCTAGTGAAATTCCTATATAAGTCTATATAAGTAGTATTTCCATCGACATTAGGAATCTTATTATGTTCCATTAATTTTACAGTCGAAGAGGTTATATGATTAATGGGTTTTGTCGTTCGTTATAGGCTTGTTCGATAAAGTCAACTTTCCTAGGAAACTGAAAATAATGTAAAACAGGGCCCTAATTTGTTTCTAATAACAGTAAATTATAGGCACACCTAGATGATATAGTTTTGAATCGTCTTTGAACCGTATCTGTCTGAGGTTTTGAGATTAGCTTAATTGGCATCAAGTACACTGTTGTTTTTTGGATAAAATTATTATGGCAATACATGAGGATTATGAAGCCATTTTATATTTATTTTTGGATGCTGCAGCTAGCCCTGGATAATTTACAAGTTTAATTATTCAATATTTCACAACTGCTTAATAAATTTTAGAGGTCAGAAATTGGGGTGTATTTAACGGATACACGCATTTAACATGATTTCAGAATGGTTCAAGCTGAACCTATCGTAACACCTATATTATTTATCTTTAACCATACATATGAGATACAATACAATCCACTATGCCAACTGGATGGATCTGTTGCGGATTGTTTCTGACATATATAGCAAGTTCAAATGAGAAGTATTTACAATACACACACACACACACTAATATATATAACAATTTAAGAAGTAGGTTGGATGTGACACAGTTGTTAGCGTGCTCGGACTGTCAATCCGAGAACTACGGTTTGCATCCAATTGAGGAAAAACGCGCTCCACACTTTGGGACCGGTGGGTGATGCTCACTCTGCTTTCCCTCTAGAGAGTCTAGACTATATATTTAAAATTAGGTAAAATATGGATATTCGCAGATAGCCTTTGTTAAACTTTGTGCGAAAATTATAAATCACAAACAAAGAAATGTTTAAAATATAAAGGAAAACCAGTTTTAACTACCAAAAACACTTAGTAGTATTTTAGATTAAATGTGATTGCATAGTACACTTTCTGTGTTTTAGAACTTAATTTTATGGATAACTGAATGAATCTGCTAACCCATATATATAAGTTGATAGACCTAGGGTTAGTTTTAATTTCTTCTAAAATCTATATAATAAGTAAACAGTTAATGCGCTTTGTAACGATTTGACCCATGCTTAACAAATAATCACTATAACTTTTAAGTTTTCTTTTATATCAGTTGCTTTAGATTTAGTTTATGCTTGTATGTTTTAATAATTGGAAATCACATTACATATTATGTTACAATAGGCTATATTTATACAATTAAAATTTACATTTACTATTTCTTGTGCAAAAAGTTTTTTGCAAACTAAATTTTAGTGGTACATTTGTAAGCTTACCTACTGAACAAGTAACATCTTCATTTAATATTTTTATATATTCTCATCTTTCTGAGTTATATGTTTTAAAGTATAATAATGTTAAAGCGAAGTCTGTATTAGTTTTTTTACATTAATTAGTAAATTAAATATCAAAAACGAAATGTTATTTTGATATATTTTCCCACTATATTATTCATAAGTTACTTACATGACCGGTTCTCAAATGTATTGAAGGGCCTTTTCTAGCTTCAAGGTTATATTTTGTTGGCATGGTAACCGGTAAAATACCGTACACACAGATTTACGGCCGGCCTATTACCATGCTGTTAAGTGATTACATGTGCAAAGATATTTCATAAGACAAAATGTTCGATGTATATGCATAATTAATGCAATGACATTTAAATTATAATATCCAGATCAGTACAAGTCAGGTTATAAAATACACTAAAATGTTTTCAATAATTTGATATCACAGATTGGTAAAAGAATATTAAGAAAACATAGAAACAAAAAGATACCTTTCTAGACCTTTTCAATTCTATGTAATGTAATAATTGCAAACATTTTTATGGAAGTGCGGTTAGATTTATTTCATTTAGCACACCTTCCTCAAGTTGTTTCTCAGCCATCTTGTTTTAAATTTTTCTCACTATAAATGACTACACTTCACATAAAACTTGTGAAACTGCTTAGTTAACCAAACACTTCTGGTTTTTTTGTGTGTGTGTTGAGAACAACATATTGTTAATAGCTGAGTATCTTATTTTTATTAAATAAAGAAGCACCAGCTATTTCCACTATAAAATAGCAATGCTATTGGCGATTACGACTCGACATAATGTCCTCATAAGAAATATTTCCAAGTTTATGATATCATATCTTCCTGACACACACAAGTCGTTTCCATAACCTGAAGATTTTATAACTTCTTTATCCTTCGATTTAAAAATTTCTGATTTTTAAAGCTTTATTTGCAGTTAAGTAAAAAACAAAACATAAATTCCTTTAATTTCCCGCTATAAGTCAATCATAATCCTTTACCTATAAATTGGTAGCCTCTGTAACAACAAGAACAAAAAAAAACAGGCAATGTCACTCGAGTGAGTTTATAAAACCTATCAACCAATCTTCTGATAAACGCAACTAAAAAGAAGTAATCAGAAAATGAAGCACCTGTATTATCAAATGCTTGAACATTTCCTTGACGATTTTTACTAACAGGTATTGACACTGTTTTTACAATAAAAAGTAATAGTAAAATTGCGTGCATGTTGGCACTGTAGTAGAGCTTTATAGTTCGAAAATAGTGAGCCAGCTTCGAATCCATGCAATACCATAAAATATTTCCTCTGTTTTTATCTGTGGATGCGTCGACGATGGGTGGTAAGGATCTATTGATTAGCTGTCTTCCCTTTGGTCAGTATTTCAAAATTAGATACAACCACAAATAACTTAATAGTTTTATCACACAAACACAGATAATTATGTAAAAATCTATGAGATGAAAAAAGTTTTTATTTTTACAGTTAGAAAGCTTATAGACTGTCACCTCTAAAAACAGTAATCATCTAGACGCTGGCATTTCCGTACTATATCATTTTGCCAAAGTTTCAAAAATTCAAAGTACGATTTTTTGTATTATCTATAAGTAGATGTATATATAGATACAGACAGATGTATTCTTGCAGAATAGTTTCAAACATTATAAATTGGTTATTTTACTTCTATTACCATCATTTTAAGTGTAATTTTTAATATAGTTATTAACACTGATCACCTAGTTTTGTTTCTTCAACACTGCAGACCATGTTATTCTTGTACGACTTATCAGTCCCCATTTTTGCTTTCTCACCTCACCACTGACTTTCTGCACATGCTTATACAGCACACCATGTTTATCACGTGATTGGTCAACTTTCTCCATTACTTGGACTAACACTTCCTGTTTCAAAACTTTTGTTACGCATTTCCTCTTATACTCTGTTATATTTTTTCCAAACTTTGATAAAGATCAATTAATTATTAAAAACTTCTCTTATTAAGAGATTTTTAGGAAATTTCAATTGAAATGGTTTCATGATATACGTAAATAATAACTTATTACAATTTCTTGTGATGTATGGTGTCTATAAGTTCTTGTTTTTATTAAATTTACACTAAATAAATGGAGAGACCTTGTGTTCTTGCTAACAGGTTTGTTTGTTCTTTGTTAATGGTGCACTTATTTTGCATGTTATACGCAGTTAGTTAATATTTTTCATATTTATTATTTGAGCAAATTAATATAGCGATTGTCCTGTAGACAGTATTTAAAACATATATATATCAAAAATTTAAGAATGTTTAAAATGTTTGAAGTAATGCTTTGATATATAACACTAAGAATCTGACTTTCATAACTTATTAAGCAACCACAGTACCTAAATACGGACTAGTCAAAGACTACTTCTAGAAGTTAAGCACGTGTTTCTGACTCCAGATGAAACCAATTATACTCCATTATACTAAAACATGTGTGTATTATTTTAGTTTAATCAAATATATGAATGAGCTGAAACCACTGTTGCAAAAAATAAATTTTCAGATACTAATGGTATAATTATTCGGACTATTATTCTCGTCTCTGTCATGTGTATTATCATTTTCACAACGTTTCGACATACACATAATAAAGCCGAGAATAACAGTCCGAATAAATATACTATTGGTAATTCTAACCCCTCGTGTCAATCATTCTGCTAAACTATATTTTCAGATAGTTGCAGGTACTAACTGGCAATGATTAATGGGTTTTTACAACGCTTCAAACACTAGATTATATTTACAAAAATTGATCACAGTAGGCTGGATTCTTAGTTTCTTTTAAAGTTGACCAAAATGTTAAAATGTTTAAAAATATACTGACCGAAAATAATAAGCATTTCGTCTTATGTTAACTAACTGATTATTGTCCAACAGGAAAGAACATTTATATATTGCAGTAATTAGGCTTATCAATATGATTAAAATATTACGAACTTTTTAAAATATATATATTTCAAACATTACGTTAAAGTGGAAAACTTCAGTAATGAGTCTGATTTCTAAAAACATTGAAATTTTAAAATAAAGTAATTATAAGCCTATCTGCCTAATATATTGGTCCATCTTAAAATAATAATAACCGTGAACAATAAAATATCATTTTCAGATTAAGCTAAGTGAGTGAAACTGATAAGTAAGATAATCTAATTGATTGAAAATATTTTCATTTTGTGTCGGTTGGATGTATAGTTTATGGGCACACATCATTACATAGAAACAATTGGCGCAAAACTCCCATGACTGATAATAACATGATACAACAGATGGACAGTACAGCTTTCTAGGTTGGTGATTTTATTGTTGTTTGTCAGTTCAGTGACCTGTGAACACCGTTTCCTACATCTACACTCAAATGTACTTATGTGTTTAATCTTTTCATTTCCCATTTCAGCTCTAGTATTTCGATATACAAAGTTAAAAATTATCTTAACATATACGATATAGGTAAATATGCAGCTAATATTCTAGTACAAGTGATATTGTGTACTAGCCGATATGATACTTGATGTAAGTTGAAGTTTTTCATACTTCTATAAAAATCATATACACTCGCCCGCATACATACATATATATAACTTATGCGTATAAGCAAGAACCACAAGGTTTCGTGGTTGTGTCATATGTATATACATATATATAAATATTTACATATACCATACCACTACGTGTATTTCAGCTGTATTCACGTAAATTTCTTCAACCATCTCTTTTGCAACCACATATCTTAGGTTCGCGCTGTCGTAAATTACATTTATAGAGCAAGAACAAACGTTTTCGCGAAGTTCGAGCCCAAAATGTATATATTATTGAATAAGACAAAGAAGAACTTCCTTTCAAAAAGTACTGTATAACTTTCAATATTTAACAAATGCAGTAAGTATTATGAGAAAGTTTTCCATTGGATACTTATAATATATTATAAATATAGTAATGCCTTTCATATGCATTTAAGCTTTACCATACTTATATGACGCGCGCACACACATACATATTATCTACATGTACACTAAGGATACGAAATTGAAAGCTCAAATAGAAACATTTGCGATGTTTTAAACACTGAAAATTTATGAAGAATAAAATGTTTCAACTTACAAAAAATGTTTATTTATCTCAGTATCTAAAGGCTGATATTTCGATTTTTTTGAACGGAAAAATTGTAGATTTATTGCATTTAGTGAATATGTAATTTATTTTATGTTTTTATCGTTACTGTACTTTATATTTCTAATGATTAACCAAATTATAGCTTTTATACTTTGTTAAATATGGCATGTCCAATAAGTATTTCAAAAATACGATATGAAATTAAATCACCAAATGTTTTTTCCAGTAATTTGATTAAATCTCTTTATGCCTCATTTAAAGACAATAAATTGAACTAGGTTTTCAGTGTTTTCGTATCATCTTATTGCTTTACTTAATAGCAAAACTAACCTTTCATTTCTGCTGCAGTAATAATATCCTCATAGATGTACAGCAAACTATTTCTTGTTTGAAATCATTACTGAAACATAAATCTTTGATAATAAAGTTTATTTGCTTTTATGTTATGCTTCATTATTGTGAGTTTTCAAGAAGAGCGTGTATAAATCTTACAAGACATAAAATGTTTTTCATGGCTTAAAAAAACATGTTTAAAGAGAACGCTTTTTTATCGAATTATCTGTCTTCCCATTAGTTTTTAGTTTAAACTTTTCTTTGTTCAAGGAAAGAATTAAGCTTATACAATAGATTTATAAAATCCCGCTCACTTTGTTGAGTTTATAGTCCAATTTATAGGCACAGTGATTACAATATCTGAAGTTTTAACCAAAACACCAAAGAAAAAACATTCAAAAAGAAGTCTACGTTTTTTAACAATTGTCGACTATTTTATTTATTGATTACATAACTGTATGTATATTTTTCATTATAATTTAATGGTAGCATTATAGTATTATAGTGTCTTTGAGGAGCAGTCACTTGACGTTTGAAGTCATTTTGAGAAAGGTTTACAGAGAAATACACTACTTTTCATAGGCCTAATTAACATTCAAAGACACGCAATATATATTTTTGTTATTTTATTACAAGTTATAGTTTTTACAGTAAAGAGGAATGTTTTGAAAACAGGTACAACGTTTCAATAACTCTCAAGTACATAAGTTGTTGTTGTTTTTTTCATGACTATATCAGTACGGAATTGTAATGACTGATAGTCGGTTATTCTAATTTCCTGAGCTGGCGAATCGGGCTCGAATCTGTGCAGTAACACAAAATATATGAGTGATAATTAGTCCCTTAGTGTGGAGGTAAGGTGTTGCTGACTGGCTGCCTTCCCTCTGATCGGTAGTTCAAAATTATAGGCGGCGTCAGATAGTCTTAGTAGCTTTGCCATAAATACAAAAGTACAAATACATCGTTTCATTGTATTTGGCCTGGGCTTAAGCAGTGCAGACTGTTTTCACTGAAAGAGGTTTTGGGTTCCCTTCCATATGAAAATCTCCACCTGTTTGGTTTAAGATAGTTGACGGTTATTCGATTTTACTGGTCTTTTAGCCGGTTTAATTTGTTATGACAAATACACACCGACCTACTAGGAAACCAAAGCTTAAGAAATTACTAGAGCTTCACCAATAATTTTCTCTTAATATTTGAGTAGAAACTGTTTATGTCTTAACTGTGTTTTTACGTTTAGTTACTTAAGAATACGATAGATAATGGGACTTTTGTTACTAAAATCTAAGGAAGACTGGCAAAAGTGACTAGTTTTTTCTTTAGTAACAACATTGTCCGAGGCATCGAGCAAGCTTCAAAATATACACGTCAATTTAAAAGGTTGACCACATTCCTCAAAGTCGCTTTTCTGCAGACTGAAAACAAGCTTGACATGTAAAAAAAATTCAAAACTAACGTTACCTTACTTGAGAGAAGTTTTCCGACAGGTCCAACTTGATTGAGTAAGCCTTTAGTTAGATTTCAGAAACAAATACTTCTTATTCAGTAATTTCTAGTTTCTGTTAGTTTAATTACAATTTACTTCTTTCTTTATGATGTTTTGGTAAACTGTTACGAATTTCTTCATTTAACGAGTAAGTGCAAATTAAGTATGCATAGAATGAGGGTGAATTCACTGTAAGATTCCAGTTTAATATTGTAACCATTTATCAAAAATAGACAGCTCTGACGCTCATATATTTTATGTTTTTGTACTAAGCGTCAACAGGGCACATACACTTAAAACAATAGTATTAATTTCGTGTTTTATTGATACTATTATTAGCAATACTTTATTGTATTTTTGTATGTAGTTATTTCAAAATATTTCTTGTAAAGAACGAAGTAATTCATGTAGAAAAGTTGATATTATTGTATACAGTAGAATCGAACGAGAGCTCGTACAAATCTAGCTATTAATTAACGGATGTTAAAAACAGTTAAGATGTCCATAGAAGAATTGTCTTATGTGATATAATACTTGTTTTTCTCTTGTTCAGGGCAGAAAATAGTAGCTGTAGACCGAGAAAAGGGATTGCTATCGTTTCGTGCGTCCTTGGATGCGGATCAAAAGGCAAACGAAAAGATCGAAATTCGATGTTCCGTAAGAAATAACAATGGAATTCCCTTATCAGAGACTTTTTATTTGAGTGGAAGAATACACGTATTGGATGTAAACGACAACGCCCCCTATATGCCAAAAAATGTGAATTCATTAATCGAAGTGGACGCCAATGAGATTGAAGATGAAGTACGTATGAATAGACAGATAAACAGACAGGCAGATAGATACATAGATATTTCTTTCAACTTAATAAAAATGTTTGAAAAACACATGTCAGACTACATCAGAATTTGCAATGTAGATAATAAGAAACCATTGCTTACAAATCAAGTAAATAATGTCGTAACTAGTGTTCTTAAATGATTATAAATAACGTGGAATCAGTCTTTACAAAGCTCCGGCAAGACTGCTTATGTAAAATTTATTGCGCAAATTTCTCCAATTAATATTTTAAAATCTAGTTTAATGCCAGCTTTATGAATGATATTTTAAATTTATAAAGCAATATCGATGATGTGATATTTCCTTAAAAACAATAATTGATTTAAACAGTTATTGGATGTGTGTGTGTGTGTAATAAAGGTTCAAAAAATGTGATCAACGCTGCTTTCTTATTAAAAGCATTAACAAGTGTTGCACATTAAAAAGTAATAGTATTTCATTAATTCAAAAAGTGATATGCAAGTGTAGGCATGTCAAAGACATATAGAAACCTTTCCGGTTATCGTCCTTAAGGAGTTACTGGATATACGATTGTTTAATACTGTAACAGAAAGACTGTGTTTGGTACTTTAAACACGTAATCAGATTTCAGCTACTACACAATAAAACCTTAAATCATAAAAAAACGTGTTATTTTAACCTGTTAAAGAATAATGATTATGGCAAGAAACCATAACAACCTTCCAGCTGTGTGATGTGTGAAATACGTCACCTGGACTTTTAGTTTCTGCTATTTCACTAAAGAACAGGATGAACAAAAGACTATGATGTAAGTAATTTCATTTTAGGATTCTTTGCCTTTTTTGGACTTCTTTCGTTCTGAATAATTATAGAAGACATATTTATGCTTATAAATGTCACAATTTCTGGGAAGAACGCCAGGATATAAATTAATAATCCTTTTTTAAACGTACTTTATGTAAAAGCAACCACAGTTTTATTGACTTTCACCATATCTTAAACAATTGCTTGCAGAAACAAGTCGTGCTGGTAACTAATTATCTAATCGGAATTCTCCTACTAAGATATTTATTGAATATTTTTCAATTAAAATCCGTAATTAACTACGAAGTAGTTTAGAATTACTACTCCTTCTTAAGCTGTTCTTAGGAATACATTTTTGTATCTCTTAGCATTCGACTTATATTATATATATTTTTTCTTTTTTTTAATTCACACACACACACACACACTTTAACACAAAATCCAGAGAATCCTATACACATATATCTGTTTTAACGTTAAGCGAATAGATATTTCCATTACCTCCTCTTTCACAACTATCTATTGAATGAATATGAATTTCACTACAACCTCTTGAAATACTGATTCTAATAATAACACCATGATCACAAGCATCATAACATTTTTAGGTAATATTTTAGGACCGAAAAACTCTAATACCATCATCCCCATTCACACAGATTCTTCGTCTAGTATGAATATCACTATTACACTCACTATTTTCTCCATAACCAGTTTCTAGTATCAACACCATCACTACATTCAACACTACCTCCGTAGTACTACTTCTAGTGTAATCGCCACTCTATAATAGCACTTATGGAGATGGCGGTTAAGATGGTGGTGATGTTAATATCAGGTGAACTAGTTACGAAGGTGATGGTGAAAGAGTAATGATGTTAATACTAGAAAGACTAGTTTCTAGTATTAACACCATCCACAAAACTAGTCCTTACTAGTATTACCGCTCTTACTCTTCCACCATAACTAGGTCTTCTAGCACTGACTCTATTAAAACTTTAACTAACGTCTCAACAAGTTCTACTTCTATTTTTAATACTATTATCGCTACCTCCACCTCATACTTTTTCTAGTGCAATCTCTATTGCTACACTTTTACCACAGCCAACGTCTTCTTAGCAGTTACGGCTGATATTACTTTATATCTCTATTATACCTATTCTCCTGCCTTATTACATGCAACAACAACTGCTATTGATTCTAGTAGCAACAATGATAGTATAATCCTCACTACCATTGTAATTTCAGGGAACAGATTTCAAGTTCCAGTTTAATGTGTTTGATAAAGATTCTGCACAAGTCAACGATATACAAGCCAGGATTGAAAATGATCCTTTAAGGTTTTTCAGGGCTAGGATTGCTGAGGTGTACGACAGAGCAATGAAGAATGAAACATTCGTAGTTATATGTAAGTAGATTATTTTATTTAGCTTATTTCCATTGTACTAACATAAAAATTAAATAATATTTTATGCTCGTCAAGCATTAGTGTATTATCAGGAATTCGATCCACTTTCAGATATTATAGTATTGACATAGCTACCACTATAGTTGGGCGATTGTGACATAGCTACTAATTATAGTAGAGTAAATACCATAGTTTGTCGATTTTGAAATAGCTACTAATATATTAGAATAAATACCATAGTTTTCCAATTTTGACATAGTTACTAATATAGTAGATAGTACTTGCAAAAGTTTGTTAATTTCTTTTCTTCACCAAAATGTGAATTGCAGTGAAAAAAAGATGAAGTAGAGACCTAATATATCCTTTGATTCGCTACTCTAGTTGTAACAGACTAGTTTCGCCGAATTCACGGTTCATAGGTGCTGTTGGAAGATAAACGCAAATAAATAAAGTAGGCCTCATATAATGGTAGAATGTAAACAGTTTATTGGCTTAGACGTGTAATCCTTTACTCACCATTAATAACCTAACATATTTTAGGTAATTGGATAGCGTTTGACATAACTTCACGATTAATTAACCAATATTACTCAGCGGACTAACTATTATTTATTTCTTTTTTAATTTCTTTTCTTCACTAAAACATTAATTTCAGTGAAGAAAACATGAAGTAGAGGCCCAATATGTTCTTTGATTCGCTACTCGTGGTACAATAATTTTAGGTTATTAGTGGAGAATAAAGGATTATAGATCTAAATTAACACCATAGTTTGGTACAGTTATTAATATAGGTATTCACCGATTATACTTAATAGTTATTATATACGAGATTTATTGAAAACTTTATATTGCTCAGTTCTGTTGAAATCTATATCTTCTTTGTTACGTGCATATAATAAAAGTTGGAACTACTTCAATAATGCTGGTACGATAATATAATAAGAGATGTGATATAATACAGGGTGTTGAATCAGTAAAACGCGCAAAATATACTTCTGGGTGTTTTAAGTGTTATTACTGAGTATCTTAGTATGTGTCATACTTGTTGAGATGTGAAACAGAAAACGAACACCGTAAATTACTCTTCTGATTCATTGAAACCTACTTTCTTACATTGTTTGTTTGTTTGTAATTAAGCACAAAGCTACACAATGGGCTATATGTGCTCTGCGTACCACGGGTATCGAAACCCGGATTCTAGCGTTGTGAGTCCGCAGACATTCCGCTGTGCCACTGCGGGGGGGGGGGCACTTTCTTACATACCCTGTGATTCAAACATATTAAGCAGATCTGTGTTTTGCCTGAGTTCAATGTTAAATTTGAAAAACGATTTAATCTCGCTTCACATATTTGAGGAGGATAAAATAAGTACATGCTCGCCCTTTCAGCCGTGGGGGCATTATAATGTGATAGTCAATCCCACTATTCGTTGGTAAAAGAGTAGCCCAAAAGTTGGCGGTAGGTGGTAATGACTAGCTGCCTTCCTTCTAGTTTTACACTGCTAAATTACGAACGGCTAGCGCAGATAACCCTCGTGTAGCTTTGCGCGAAATTCAAAATAATAATAATAATAATAAGTACGTTTCATCACTGACAATTCATTGCAGGAGAATTTAGCTAATTGATTTTTTTTTAAAATCTGTAATATGGATAGACTGGCTTTGATAATTTAATGATATTTCTATGTTGATGTCAACAAGTATTTTAGTCACGCTGATTTTTAGTTATTTATTAATTCGATGTTAATGTCTAACGAAGCAGACATTTTAAATTTTCTCAAGACACGACTTTGGACAAGTTTTGTAACCTTAAACAAAATTTATAGCTTAATAACATGAAAACGAATTAATGGAAATCTAATTTGGGGGTGACCTTATTCTCCACGCTTTCCTCAAAGCTATGCCATGCAGTTATGTCAGGCTAGTTCTTGATGTCGTTTGGTATCTTATTTTGTTTCATACATGCTACTTGTTTATTCAAATCGTTCAAGATTGCTCTTTCCTCCTCGCTTCTCGCTAATCCCATTATTCTCGTCCGACAAAGTAACTGAAAAGTTTATTTTTCTTTCTCTATTTTCTATTTTAGTCTTTTCATTGTGCTTAACTTCTTTAACTGACCCCAATGAACAATGTTTCTATAACACCTGTTTAATTTTAGTCTTAAGACTCTTTTTAATTATTCGTACCATAAAGTCAACTTTATATTTAGAAAAGCATTAGATCCATAGATAACGTAAGGAGGCACTATCTTGGTCTGAAGAGCCTCATTAAGATCAACACTACTACATGTTATTACAGAATGTAGACCATGCCTTACGGAGAAAATGTAAAAGAAAAGGAAATAAAACCTGAAATGCATATATTAATATAACTTGAACTTAATTTAATATTTTTAAAACTGGAGATGCTCCTTGAGTAAGCATTACAGAATATAAACTGTTGTCAAATAATTCAGAATACAATAAGGATCACTTAGAATCTGAATATGATTGGCAAATTGCGATAAGAAATAAAATTTTACATCCAGTAACAAATATCAAAGTTACGGTTTAAATTCCAAAAGCTGACGAAGCATTAGAACTTAACAGGCCCCAATATTTATCATAAAAATCACTTAGTCTGCAGATGAGTTTATTTCAACATTCTTCTTAATTTCTTCATTTCGGATTTTATCGTACAGCCTAGCTGACGAGATCTAGTATTGAAAAAGGCCTCCTGGACAGTGGCTTGTGAAAAACAAAATATAATCTGAAATGCTATTCTAATCACAAATATTAGGCCAATTGAAAATCTGACGTCGACTTCTTTAAAGGTAATAAAATTAAAAAACAGCTGGATTATAAATATGTTGAATCCGAACAAAAAATATAATATTCAGTGTGTTAAAATAAGTCCTAAAAATGTCTAAGGGTTTGTTTACGAAATAATGCATTCTCAGTTATATTTGTCGTGACGGTTTACATATAGATCTCTTCTTGCCACTCAGTTGCACAGCGGAATGTCAGAAACCGGGTTTCGATATTCGTGTTGGGCAGAGCACAGATAGCTCATTGTGTGGCTTTATGCTTAACTACAAACAAAACAAAAACAAATAGATCTATTTTTACAATTAAAAAAAAAATTCATAAGAATTATAATTTATCTGGATTTTATTCATCGATAAACCTCGGTAACTTTTGTCGTTATAAGACGTAATTCACGTCTGGAGAGACTAGTCTTCTTACTTTTATATTAACTGTTAAAATAATTATAAATATTTAGTTTATCTATCGTTACCTAAATGTCTCGCTTATAGGAACAGGTCATATGACACGAATCTCAAATCTAAGTGATTACTATATTTTGTTTCACCTGATTATTGTGTAGTAAATTTTGCATTTAGTGGCATTTGTGTTGCCGTCACTCTGCTTCTTTTCTGGTCTAGTTTTGCAAAAATCTTAAGCCCAAAGTGTCATCTCAGCCTGTTACCTAAAGTTCATATCATACAAAATGAAACTAGCAAATTATCTTAATATACCAGAACTTACATATATCTTGAAATAAGTTAGGTTGAATGTACGTATATTGTATTACACATATCTTTGTACAGACATATCACTAAAACTTGTATGTCGTTCCTAGTGGTGCGAACTGTCAAGCAGTTAGCTTTCTCGGGACCAGATTATAACTTTTCTGTGATAATAGAAGATCGAGGTCTACTAAAGAAGAACAACAAGGTAGGTAAACTATTTAAAAAATTGTAAATTAATGGGACCTAGTTTCATAAAGGCTGTTAATAAAGCGTTTCATTTCACATTATACTGGGTTGAGTACGTTTATTAAAACTAGTTTGATTACGCACATCAGCGAGTCACGTGACGACCACAGCCGATATAAAGTCGCATCAGCATGTATCAGAACTACATTTTGACATCGTTTAGCGTTTGTAGGTAGTATAATGGCTTACCCCAGGCTCAAGTATCGCATTTCTTAAACAACTGGAGAATTAAACATGGGATCATGCTATTTCATAAAAAGACATACCAGTCAAGTTGCCGGATATTTGTGTGATCAGTTCATTGAAATGGGCACTGGGAAAACGTTGTCATCGTACACAGGATGTATTATGGAAAGGCAGAAGGGAGGAGCGGTATGCTTTGGTCACGACAGCTTTACATCAGAACATTCTTCAACGGAAAATACCTACAATGCTATTTTCAAGATGCACGATCGATAGGTAATGCATGACCAGACATGGCGACATGGACTATAACGACGTAGTGAGGCTCCAAAATCGTTTTAATATAACGTATGAATGACATTTATAAAATAATAAAACAACAACAAAGACTAACAGAAATCAAAGAAACTTGAAATAACAAGAATGACAATGAATATTATAACAAGGAAATTTAATTCCGCTTACGGCCGTATTTCTGTAATACAAGTTTCACACCAGAGGTTAAACTAACTAGACCAGGGATTCCCAACCTTTTTGTTCCTCTGTACCCCTTGGCCCTGGGTATTCTGACAGGATCCCATGTACCCCTAAAAGTTAAGGATCAGAAACTGATAAAATTATATTGATTTTATATTATTTATTATGAAATCTGTATGTGTGGACTGCATAAGGATCTTATAGTATTGATAACATCGATAAATTGAACTCAGGGAATTTATAAATTATCTTAGTATATTGTCAAAACAATATACTAAAAACTAAATACTAATACTAATGAGATGGTTGAGCCTGTTTGTTGGCAACAAGTTCATTAATACGAGGGGAACTTTAGCAACTCTCAAACCCCTATGTACCCCCTGAGAAGTGCAAATGTACCCCTGGGGGTACATGTACCACAGGTTGGGAACGTCTGAACTAGACAATGGATATACACAATACTATAAAAGACACATATATTTATTAACTGCTTTTGCGAATCAATAGCAACTTATGATTGTTTATTTGTTGTTATGAATAAATATCAAGTATTACATATGTTGTTGTTTTTTTAATTGTGTAGCAAAAGCAGAAATGTGTACTACAACAGCTATCAAATTAATTCAAAAAAAAGCACGTACGTTTAGTCACCATAAAACTTAAATTGGCCAGCTTTAAAATCTCTTTCGAATTATTAAATAATAAGGTGGGAAGTTCGATGATGTTCAGCTTCGATCCTACCTCAATTTCGTCTGATTTACTTAGGTTCTTATAGCAAATTAATTTTAATTTTCTTAAAAAACCTTAAGTCTTTCTAGTAAAAAAAAAGATTTCTGTTCAGAACTAAATTTTGGTTTTCAAATGAAATCGTGAATTGCTATAATAAAACACAACAACAACAATTATTTCTAAAATCCAACAATGTAGAGTTTATATTTAAAACTTATGCTATAACTAAGTTTTATTCAAAAACGGAACTTTACGGATCTCTCATTTAAAAGTTGTTTCTGCCATGAAGTAAAAATATTTAGGCTTTTAGCTCAAAATTTCAAAAGTTGTAAAAGCCGATTTCAGAAGTAATCGTAAAAACCCCCAGTTTTTATATCCAAACAGGACTTAGCAAATATTTTAATTCAACTATTAAATCAGTTCGATAATAAAGCAGGGAGTTACGTTTTCGACTTAATAACAAAAGTTTTTCATTTGTAATCATTTTTGATACAAAACAGCAAAAGAAACTTAGCCTATTCTTATTGTATGTCCTCCCTTATGAAAACATCTAGCTTTATTCTTAACTTTAATAATATTTAAAAGGATGGACCGTTCGTAAATACCATCAGGCAGTTTCACTGGAGCTTAAGTTAGTCCTTTCTGTATTAAATTATTCTATTTTTCTAATGAGATCTGACGAATATATTGATAGAATTAGAAATGTGTGCTATGTGCAACTCTATATTAAATTTTCCTACACGCTTTGCGCAATTTCGTTTTGTTTTATTTTTTATTCTATTTTGAAATACTTTCAAAATCAATAAGTTCATTTCACTCTTTGCTAGTGGAATTTTAGGCCTATTTAGATTATTGAAAGAAAAAAAATTGATATCCAGTGCCAAAACTTATGAAAGACCTAAACTCTTATTGAAACATTTGTCAAGGTATATTTGTTGCTTCTTCCCGATTCATTAACATTAAGACAGTTACAATGTTCCCAATCTTACAGTACATGCAGTAAACTGTTAACACGTTAGTATGTACTTCTTTATTCACTCGAATTAAAAAAAACAATAACGGACTGATTAGAACGACTGAAAAATTAAGATTGTAAGATAAATAACATAGTTTCTTATTCAAATTATAGAACTAAAAACTGTTTTCCGTGCAAACAGATGATAGCTATTCGTTCTTAGTTTAGTCTCTAAAGTGTATATTCTAATATTTGTTCAAATCTATGATAATATCAAACGAATAATAATTAATGTTCATTTAAGATCCGTCATCATTTCGAGAGCTATTATTTTTTGGTCCGTATACAAAACGGTTTTTACCACAAAAATAAACGACTTGAATTATAAAATCAAAATCAGTGGAACGTATTTAATATGGCATAATAAATTAAGTTTAATTTTTCTAATTCTAAAATTTGCTTTTCCTCATGAAAAACAAAAATTGTGAGGTTACGTTTGTAACAATTACCTATTCAAATTTTTGGCGGCTTTTTTCTGACGTAATATAATCGTTAGCAGACAATATATGTATGAACTCTTACAAGTATAATGATCGGATGGACGAAATCTGTTGTAGATATTGTGACGTTAGAGAGAAGAAACCGCCTAACACAGTAAAGTAACTTCTTTCTGAGTTATGTTCTAAAAAATATGCTAATACATCTGTTTAGTAAGTCTGCAAGAAAGTAGTTTATGTTTTTCTTTAGTGATTTTAAACTTTTTGTTTTACATTGAGTAGTGTAAGAATCTGAAATACAGCTGCATTAATAAATCCAACTGAATCAATTGAAGATGGTGTCTTTCGGCGTTTTTTTCTCATATCTTATGTCTATATTTGTTCATTTAAATAAATTGCAGAAATAATCTGTAGTCAAATGCAGTGTTTTTAAATAATACTGACAAGAACAATTACATAATGTATTAGAATATTTTCCCAGATTAGTAACCTAAGAAGCCTGAAACTATATAGTGATTAGGAAGCTTGTTTTTAACTATCCTGTTAGCTAAGTTGACCAACTCCTTAAGTGCATGTAGGATAAGCTGTCATTTTTGAGGTGCCCCGACATCACACGTTACTGTCGATCTACTATTCGTACAAAACGACAATTACTCCTTTTTTTTCAGGTTAAACATAAACCCTAATGATTTATTTGTAGCAAACAATAATATTAGAAAACTCGTGATATGATAAAAGAGTTTTATCAAATATATTACAAAAGTCCAGGGAATGTTAAACTTCAACCTAAAACACTAAATCATGTAAATATATATACATATACGAACAGTGTAATGTATATTCTGCATATCCAATTAATTGTGACAGCAAAAAAATTACTTGTTATAATATCTAATTTATATCGTTGTTTTGAGTACAGATACACACAGAATGTATATATAACTTATTTTGCGTATACAATTAATTGTGAGAACAAAAACTGCTTGTTACAATATCCATTATATATTGTTCTTGTCAAGTGCAAGCTGTCAGCAAGGAAGGTACATCAAGAGACCAACAAATTTTCATAGATTATACAAGATCTTTCAACTGCCTGATTGTAAAACTAGTGGAACTTTTAGAATGTAGCTATTGGTATTTTTAGAATCTCGTTGCAGTTTGGATGCTAGAAGATTTAAACAAAGGCTCAAAAACTAAAGTAAATTATATGGTTTCTCTTAAACACACCTACATATATGTATGTAGTCTACAGCCTGTTTTGAAATTTATTTGCTCTTGATGAACTAAGTAAGAACAAAATATATATAATAATGAAATGCCTTTTCTAAAGTTACAATTTCAGGCTCATACCTATAGGACAAGAATAATAAAACTCAAGTGGTTTACTATATATATATTAATAAATTGGAATGAATAAACTTCTTGAATTAAATAGAGCTTTTAATTCACATGTTCATATTGTAATAACATATAAACTCTTTTCTTGTAGGTTGTTGATAAAACAAAAAAAATGCTTACCTTTAGTCAGTTTCTTGTGATAATATTAGCAAAAAGTACAAACATGTACAGAAACGTAATAAAAAAGGTATGTATTGTAATACACTCACAACTGCCCCCCCCCTTCCAGTTGTACAGCGGCAAGTCTCAAAGACTTTAACGCTAAAAACTAGGTTTCTATTCCCATGGAGGGCACAGCACAGATAACCCATTGTGTAGCTTTGCGCTTAACAATAAACAAATAAAAATATACTCATCATGACCACTCATAACACAAGTTTTTTTCGGGAGGGGAGAAAAATTGGAATAATAAATATTACGTTATTTTTAAGCTCTATAACTAAGAACAATTATAAATAGTATACATATTAAATATGGGGTTATAACAATAGCAAATCGTTATTCATTATAATGTTTTAAACATATGGGGAAAATCTGACAAGTCAAAAAAATTCAATTGCTTAATTCTTAGAGTATTGATGTGCTATTATAGAGAATTATACGTTTTAATATCATATTATTGTATCTGTGTTCCAAATAGATAAAGATAAAAATATATTTTATGAAACAATTACTTAGTACTGTATGATTACGTAATTGCACAAGTACTGATCACATATGTTTGTATTTTATTTCAGGTCATCTATAACGTCCATGTCTATAACAAAACGTCAGCGATAATTTGTTCAGCCACAGTCTCTAGACTAGCAACTATTTACTCCAGGGTAAAGTAGTAATTCATTTCGATTCAATCCATATAAGCCTACAGAGTTGTCGCGAACATTATCAAATGTTCTCCTAACATTTTTTTTCAATACTGATCCTTCATACTAACCTTTAAGTATTTGTACGTAAATTAAGATCATACTATCGGTGTTTTTGTTGTTGTTATTGTTTTTTAAGCAAATAAGATAATAATTTTATGTAATAGCTGATAGATCCATCTAACTTTCCTGTAGTAAAGTAGGAGACTAATAAATCAATTTAGGTATAAAATAATGAAATATATTGATAATACTACTACGTGTAGATATGCACATCATATTGATTTATATCCAGGTAACTATCCCATTGTTACCTCTCATGTGAGTAGACAAGAATTTACCTAAATAAACACATAGCTAAGTACAGCAAATATCTTAGAACCTGTACATTTAAGTGCTGTTCTACTATAACATAGTAAATAAATTCGATTATTTTGTTGTATTGCTCAATAAGTATCATACCGCAGGTAATTCTCTCTATTTTTGACAAGTTTTTTCAGCATAGGTTAATACCTTTTTCAGAAGAATAGCGATGTTTTATTTAACACTAACGTTATCTGCAAATTTATAGATTAAATTGATTCAGTTCTTCTCTTGTAAGTTTTACAAGACTCACCAAAACATACGTAGTCACATGTTTCCTAATTCTCTTTTCAATAGTTCAAAACACGATAGTCCGTGTGATGAATTAAGCAACATAGCAGGTATGAATGAAAAATGAATTTATTTGATTTGAGCTGGTTCTTTTTTTTTTAAATATGCACGCGAGGAATCTAATCATATGTCAGGAATGCATGTCGTGATTTAGTTTCACTTTTAAGTATAAATCCACTTGAACTTGAACAGCTTCCGGCAGAAAAAAAAATCTTCAGCACATTTTCCTGCTAGCATTATAAGTCAACCTTTACATTTGAAGGGATATTCTTATTTCCAGCTTGCCTTTGTATCTTCAGCCAGCTAAAGGCTCGGAAAATCCACCCATTTCTTAAGAAATATACATTTTATTCCTTGAGAGAATTATTAATAATGATAGAAGAAAAGGTGAAAAAGTATTCGTTCAAAAACTTCTTATATGTGAACGAATCATAGTGTTCAGCATCCGCACAAACTTCAATTATGTTACTTGTAATTAGTTCGTTAGTTTCTTCTACATCTCTGGCGTACTTCAAGACCTTCCAATGCATTGCATTTAGCTTTATTGACATTTCTAATACAGACGTCTTGAAAACAAAATGTGCCTTTGATAAAATATAGTTCCCCTAGGATAAGCAGTTCTAAGATGTAATCACTTTAATCATCCTATAGTCCCGGTAGATAAACCACCTTTACTTTTTCATGTGGCCAGTACAGAATGCAAAATAGAAAAGCAACCTTGTTTAAATGATGCAGCTTGCCTTCTTTCTACAAATGAGTCTAGAATTTATTGTGTTTGAATTTGATAGAACAAAGAATTATTGAGCTATTCTTAGATTAGAAAATTAAAGGTAATTTTAATTTCTTTCAAGCACACAATAAAATAAGCTCTAACATACTGGGGTTATTGTGAGTAAAAAACAAAAAACAGCGAAATTTAGCGTTTTTTTTATTTTGTATACTGCAACTCTTGTCTCAAAGGCCTGGCATGGCTAGGTGGTTAGGGCGCTCGACTCGCAATCTGCGGGTCGCGGGTTCGAATCCCCGTCCCACCAATCATGCTCGCCCTTTTAGCCGTGGAGGCGTTATAATGTGACGGTCAATCCCACTATTCGTTAGTAAAAGAGTAGCCCAAGAGTTGGC